CGTCGTAAATCTCTGTTGCCCATTGAAATGAATATAACTGGAACACTATCTTCAGATAAACTCCCTATTCAGTAAGCAATCTTTTCTGTTTTATCGGGCCGAAATACAGTTGTTTGCCTTCAAACGACTAGGTACGGTAAGTCTTTGATTTACCAAGTTGCTCCCGCAAAAACCGGTTTGATGCTACGTGTTGAACATCACTTGTTGTGTTAGATCTAGACTCTCTCCTTAGATCAGGTCTCTTCTCCTTCGCTTTCCTGCACAAATGGAGCCCTCTGCCAGCAGGGAACCAGGGCATTCGCTTGCCCTAATTTATTGCGCGGGTGTATATGAAATTTTGCCGACTCACCTCAACCACTAATTAATATTTCTTTTCCCACAACTGTTGGCGAGCAGAGAACGGGGGGGGGGGGACGCTGAATATAAAAATTATTTCCAGACATCAGATTTTCAATTTCTTTTGGGTTAACGTCTCTTAAACAAGTCAGTTATGGGTATTATCTGCCTATAAACATTATTAGGAATGAAGTGACGTAATATGTACATGTGGCCTTATTTCTTCATGTTGCAGCTGCTTCTACACCATTTCCAGTATTCTGTGATATGAAAAATGGAGGTAAGACTTCACAAAGAATCCTACAATCCGGAAGATTCTAAGCCGAAATCAGATAAAATTGCAGTGATGTCTAAGCAGAACAGATTTGAAGTAGAATACTCTACATTCATAGTTGTTCACATCGTTGCTTCCTAATTCACAACTTCAGAAAGCTCACATGACTGGTTACGATTGTTCTAGTTTACAAAAGCATAAAATAAAACAAAGGTAACCAAGGATTAGAGTTATTCTCTCATGTACTAGATAATTCTAAAGCTTGGTTACCTTTATTCTATTGTTATGCTTCTGTAAACTACTGTAGAACAAATTAACTAGGCATGTGGGTGGTGTAATGTTGTGATTTGGGCATAAACAAACGTTAGCCAAATTTGTCTATTGCCCCCAACTACTTGTTCTAACATCAGTATTACGAGTATTACGAAAGAACAGCGAACATGTTCAATATAGAAAAGGGTTTGGGTGTTTCCAAAGAATGCATGAACGGAAAACAATATTTCAGGGTGGGATCCAACCGCTTGTACTGAGAATTATTAGTGTTATATCCCTCAGGTTGGACCCTAATACTCAAAGGCATTGCGGGTGTACTTGGAATTATGTCAGATATCTGGCAAAGTCCGTCTACATTTTAACGAAAGTTCGCTAGAAGCTTTGAATATTGGGAGCAGATTTAAAAATCACTACAAAAATAGAATTGTCCAAGAATGGAGCACTTTTCTTCCAACACAGGTAAAGAAAAAAATATATGCTCTTCCTAAAAATTTAGAGATGCACATATAGTATATATTATGCAGATACATTAATTTAATTGTTTGTTATTAAGTTATGCCGCGGTTAAAATATATGCTATCAGCCTGGGCCTCCTTTTCTCCTAGGTTCAATGATAGTTTATTAAGATATGATGGTGTGGAATCCCGGCAAACTTCAAAGCCGCAAAATAGAAGAGCTTTGTTTGATGTTGAACTGTACCTCACCGTGCACAAATCCTTTGTCTCAACTTTATTAAATATTATTTATCGTGGTTGCACTTTCATCTCAGCTTTTAGGATCATTAAACCTTTTAGGATCCTATTTAACGAATAGAACCCAAATGTGCTCCGTTAATGGCGCTCTGTCGGGCACGAAGTTGGTTACATGTGGAATCCCTCAAGTTCAATTCTTGGCCCACTCTTATTCTTAATCTACATTAATGATCTGCCTAACAGTTTGGAGTACTCGTCGACAAGAATGTTTGCCGACGATACGACTCTAACTGTATCTGGCAAGTCAATTCAAGATGTAGAGGTGGCCATAAATCATGACCTTACCAACGTTAAACAATGGCTTTCTGCAAACAGATTATCTCTTAATCTAGTCAAAACTGAGTATCTACTAATAGAATCTCGGTACAACATAAATAATTTACTTGCTGCTCCAAATATATTTGTTGGTGATACACCAATTAAAAAGGTCAAAGAAACAAAAGCGCTTGGAGTTCAAATTGACGAGTTTCTATTGTGGGATAAGCATATTGATAAAATTGCTAAGAAGATTTCATCCGGCGGAATTGGGGCGATCGGAAAGCTAAAATATTGTGTGGACCATAATACATTAATTTGTGCTTATAATGCACTTATACTTCCACACCTAGATTATTGTTGCGAAGTTTGGGACACCATTGGTGCCACACTTTCTGATCGACTCGAGAAACTACAAAATAGGGCAGCTATAGAGTTATTACTGGCCGTAAAAACGAACACGGTCAATCTGAACTTGCTCTAGACGAACTGAAATGGAAACCTTTAAGTGAACGCAGAACACATTTCGTAGCAAGTCTTATGTATAAAATAACTCGCGAACTGGCGCCAAAACGACTAACCAACATTTTTCAAAGGACGTCTTCCTCTTATTACTATAATATGTGAGGCTCTTCCACCAAACTCTTTTTGCCCAAACCTAAGACTGAATATCTTAAAAAAAGTCTTAGTTATAGAGGAGCGAAATTGTGGAACAGCCTTTCTGATGAAGCAAGAAACAAACACACTCTTGCTTCGTTTAATTCATGTATACGACACCTGGCCAATTAATTAATTAATTAATAAAATAATTACGTTAATTAAAAATATTGAACAGTACTAACATTAATTTAATTTGTAAATAATTATATACTAGTTGTATTTGTAAATGTATTGTAATTGTTATTAACTGTAATGTAATGTATGACCATAATTTGTATTAATTGTATTTTTTAACTATTTAAATCTACGCCCCCCTTGGAAATCAGCCTTCGCTGTAGGGGTTAGCGCAGTTAAATAAAGTTTTACCTACCTACCTACCTAGCTATCCCTATTGGACGGTACTTAATTATACGAAAATACAATAAACTCAATCACCGTGACCGTGCGCAAATTTACTAAAACTCAGACAAAAACATATAACAAAGCTTCTGTTTAATTCCATTATCATATCTTGATCATATGGTTCAATACCTTCAAGTCTCTCCTCATATCATCCACCTATCCTATCCTATCAATTCTAAATATCCGAGCCAAACTACTCATCCTAGCCCAACAATTTTTCCTGACCAAACTGTTCATCCTGGCCAAACTATTCATCCTAGAAAAAACTATTCATCCTAGTCAAACTATTCATCCTAGTCAAACTATTCGCCCTAACCAAACTATTCATCCTAGCCAAACTATTCATGACTGTGGTAACCACCTGATTTTCTTCTCTCTTTCACAACTCTTTCACAAAGGTAGCGCCTCTATAGTTCACATGATTTAGATACTCGGTATTATATATGCATGAGAATAACGCAAAAATTGTGTTGTCAGCACAAAATTGATCGGAGCCGGATTTGAACCCGCATATTCAGCACACCGGGCTCACGCAATGTTCTGAATGTTTTAGCCTCTACTTGTTTACTGGCCGACATGGAGGCTGGGGGGAACTTGCCTACTTCAGTATATATATATATATATATATATATATATATATATATATATATATATATATATATATATATATATATATGTCAAAATAGGCCTTGGTATATATCATGACAATTCTTTGTTTAAGGCTCGCATTGTCCTGTATTCTCGTGGTAAAGAAGACGTGATCTTCACGTTCAATACTCAAAATACAAACAACATGAATTGGTTTGCAGAAACAAATCTTCATACTTCGCCTTGGCAAGATATTCATGAGAAAGTTAAGAATTATTTTAGCGTGGTTGGTCATTGTCTTGCAGATAAAGGCTGTCGTAATTTTTATATTAATCACCAACACTCCGGTTGTCCTTCGGATACCGGATGGTTAACGCCATTGGGAATATGTGTTGTGAATGGGAAAGTAAATATGGAGTACTTCGTTTCTCTATAGTAAAAAGACAACTACTGTTACCTGGAATGTTTACGGTGGGTTTACTTGTTGGCAATCTTAAAATCTTAAATCTTGATTATCATTAATTGAAACAGTTATTAGAAAATAGTTTTAATGTAGATATGCCATGTACCTGGTCTTTACGTCGTAGTTGTTCGTGTCATAGGTCTTAATTAATCAAGTTTCTAAAGTAAACATATGTTTGTTGCTTGAGTATTTCTGTAATTGTTTTCTGATATAGTCGGTATAATGTAGTTTAGGCTGGGTTTTTTGTTGGTTTTTTTTTTGTAGTAATAATCACTTATATTAAACCAACCATATAAATATGTCTGAGCTTCAAACAATTAGCATATGTTTATTTTGGTTGTAGTATAGTAATTGTAACAATAATTTAATTAAATTGTAAAAAGGTAGAGTGCCTCGCATGGGACTTCGAGTCCCGTTTGCACTCGTGCGGCCGGTTTGGTATGTCTTGTTTTACTGTCCAATAAAGTTTACAATAATACACACTTTGTCATGATCAATACATAAAATAACAGCCTCATTCAGAATTAGAATATGTGTCCAAGGCAGAAATAAAACTCATGCAAAAATATGGTCGTCGTTCCATCGTCACGCGTAGATTGTATTTAAAGTATTAATGAAACAAAACCCCTTTTTGATTAGCTTAAATAAATAATTTATTCAGCGTTTTAGAAGCAATTTGATATATCCTTCAGCATCATGCGTTGAGTAGAAGTTTCCGAATTTTGCCTCCAAATAAAGTTGGCTATTTCATGCGAACGCCATGTTAATTTAATCTCTGCGACATAAGAAAGAGGACGGAGAGTCAACCTCGTTCCCATTACGGGAGTCCGCAAAGCATTACGGGAGTCCGCAGCATGATATTTAATTGAACTCTATAGCATTTGTTAAGTGAGTTGTTTGCAGTGAAATTTATATATTTTTTTGAAATAACACAGGTTCTACACTAAAACGTTTATGTAGCGATGGTTTGGGAAAACAGTCGAATAGTACATATCCAGAAAACGATAGTAAGATTAATGATCTTCAAATCATACTGTGACCATACTGAACCAATTTTTAGTGACCTTAAAATACTAAACTTGTATAATTTGAATGATTTTTTAACAAGTTTATTTATGTTCGGATATTTTCATTTACAAAATCTTCAAGAAATTTTTAATAAATATTTTTAACTAACAAAGAAATCCATAATTATAACGAAAGAAACGCATTATTGCTACACAAAAGTTGTCCTAGAACAAATTATAAAAAACACACTCTCGCTAATAACGGCATTGATGTGTGGAATAATTTTCTGACGCAATATAAGCAACTTAATTAGATCTCTTCCAATATTTAAATCAACAATGAAAAATATTTTCTTCTGTCAAATTTAATTAAACAAGTAGAATTCCTGCCTGTAGGAATCTCACAGTATTCGAAATTTATATCTACAAAACCCTTCAACAATGAGTTCTATCTATTAGCTCCTGATATTTACATATAACAGTTAATTTTAACCTGTTGGTTAAATCTCTTCCGAGCAAAACAAGAAATCCAATCCACTTGAATATTTTTAATATTTTCAAATATTGTTTCAGCTGATGTTGGTGCCTCCGAAGTGTTTGCAGTTTATCTTCGTTAGACACTGTCCAAGTGGACACATTAACAACAATTATAGTAGATTCCCCCATGCATGTGCATGGTTGTTCTCGGCGAAACAAGAACTTTTAAGTTGAATACTTTATTAATTTTTGTGTATTTTGATTTTCACTTTCTCGAAACCTCATTTACGACCAAAACTATATTCGCCTATACTACAATCTAAAACGCCCCGTTCGCACCTCTTCCATTTGGATATACCCTTCTGTGTACATGCATGTATGTTGTGTTTGTCCTAAATTTGTATATTTATAAGTTGTTCATTCTACCAAATAATACTATGTTAGATAATGTCCACATGTCTTCGAGTTATATGTCACGCAACAAGGAGGAATTTCGTTCTCGCCCAATCAATGCATTTGTTGACATTTTCGCTCTAAGCCAATCAGAATGCGTAATTGCATGGTTACTACTTTCCAGCATATAAAAAGCGCGAAAGTTCGAATGCCGTTAATTCTAGAACTAGGCAATAAAACGCAAATCTCAGCGGAAAATTTTATTGTCATGTTGAATCCAATCAAAAAATTTAAAAATTCTGAACCTCTCGAAAATTTATTTTATTTAACACCCTAATTTATTTAACATGTGTGTTTCATTCAATAATTTATGTTTGTTTACGTTCTTACTTGTCTCGTCAGTTACAGTACGTATGTCATATTATCCGTTCGAACCAGTATGCTTTGTTTTTATTCGCCCGAGGCCAAGAATTACATCTGATTTTAGTTTGATATTTGATAACACTCAGTAGCGTAGCCAGCCTGAAATTTTACTCCTGCTATGCAAATTTCAAAGCATTATCATTATTCATTTCTTTAGAAATTCATTGTTTTTACAGTCTATGAACACAGACATATTTGCATAGCAGGAGCAAATAGTCAGGCTGGCTACGCCACTGAAATTAACACTAAAAACGGTATTAAAACGGAATCAGTCATTAAAGCGGCTTGTTTTAATTCGGCCGGCGCTCTTGGTCTAAACTAAAGCCTTAAAAGTAATACTATATTCCGGCTATACATTTTACAATCCAAAATTTAAACAACACAAGTAAATAATAAATTTTCATCAATCCAATGCACGATATTCGAAATAAACACTCCTAGCCAGAAACTCGATCTTTGCATTTCACATATTTTAGCCTACCTCCCCCCCCCCACGGGACAAATTGGGTGGAGATGTCACGTGACCAGCCTGTAAGCGGAAGTAGAGAGCTGGCTTGCGAGTTGACAAAGTGTCAGCAAATTATGGCCCAGTGAGCTCCATATATAGCTAATCAAGAAAGGTTGTCCTTTGAAGGTTTTAGTTATCTAGAGGCTTAATTGTCATTATTATTGTGTCTTTATTGTTAAATTTCGCTTTTTGTATAACCTGGGAGACTTAAACCTCCGTGCGAACGATCTTGTTTTGCTATAATTTCTTGCCTGAAAAAAAGCGTGCTAGTGATGAATTAAGTATTTAACGGTTTAATTAAGCTTGATTATTTCTAGAACTATCAACAAACTAATTTTTAAAGTGCATTAAGAAAAATGGCATCACGTCCCAAGCGGTGTGCGAGTCAAAACAACTTTCAACTTGCCGCGCTTGGATGTAAATTAAAATGTATTTTTAAAAATGGGCATCACGTTCCAAGCAAAGGTTTCGATCGGAGAGTCAAAATAGATCTCAGCGTAACCAACCTGGTTCTCAGGGTCACTTGCAGGGAAGTCCAGAATGGCTAAAATCAACAACCCTTATTTTCGGATGTTATAAATTTAAATCCAATTAAGCGGTAAATAATACAGAGATTAAGCGTGCAGTAAATAAATAGTAAAATGAAAAGTTTAAATCATTATGTGTTCTCGCTCCAGATATACAGCTAATTTCAATTATAGTTGTCCTTTGAAAACCTTAAGGTGGCTCCCTACAGTTATTCTTGTTTAATTTTAATTTCGACAACGTCACTGTTCCCATGGCAACATGACGACAGCATATATAAAGCCTTCCAATTTAACCCATAAATGTGCCGCTATCTTTTTTTATTTCATATATCAATAGGGAATGATGCTCTGCAACTGTGGTGAAAGTTTAAAAAAATTCGGTAGTGTGTGATTTTTTTAAAAGCGAAAATTTTATTGCGAAATTTCCACACTAAAAATTTTTTTAAAAATTTAAATTTATAAAATTTACCGCAAAATAAATTCGTGGTCAAAATTTGAAGATAGGTCACCAATGAAACTAATGAGTAAAATGCAAATAAAGTTAGAAAATAGCCTCGTGTAACTCGAGAAATTCCCTTTATTGAAAAGCGTCGCTGACTAGTAAAAGATTGTACGCGGGCGCAGAACGAGTTTTCATTCAGCAAAATCGAGCAATGTCAGTGGTTTTTACTGTTTTGTTTTCAAATTCGGTTTTCAAAGTGACTATATGACCGGCAGCCGGTCACGGTTTATCAAATACTAAATGACCGGCAGTCTAGTGACTATAGTTGAATATAAAACTTTTGTTTGCGTTAACTTTTACTGAGCTTGCCGTTAGCTCATACGGCAAGGGCGCTGTGTACGGAAAGTTAAACGCAGTCGGGGTCGGGATGTGTTTTGTCTGACTTAGCATTGTTTTTTCTTAAAATTTCCGACTTTTCTAACTCACAAAAGGTTAGGGTTAGGGGTTAGGGGTTAGGGTTAGAAAAGGGTTTGGGGTTGGGGATAGGTTTATCTTATAAAAATTCAACTTTAACTATAGTCACTAGACTGCCGGCCATTTAGTATTTGATAAACCGTGACCGGCTGCCGGTCATATAGTCACTTCGGTTTGTTTTTGTCAACTTTTCGATTTATTTGAGTGCCATGGACAGCCAAGGATTATTGTGAAGGATTAAATCGAAGAAAACAAGGTTGAAGCTAATTGAACCCTGCCGTTTACTCAATCTATGAGCTGTAACAGCCTATTAACAGGTGGACGTGTTTTTTTTTTGTTTCATGTTTGGTTTTGTACTTTTTGCTAAAAATGAACAATTAGGCTATGAAACGGAAATATTTTCTGTATGAAACGGAAATATAATGACTTTAATCTTGTCAAACACGACTAAAAACGTGAACGTTTTCTTGAGAAGTAAACAACTTTTTAAACGTTTGTATGCAATTTTGCAAATGTTTTACAGTTGACAGTGTATATTTTAAAAAATTAAAAAAACATTGTTTCGTAGCTATTTTTTGGTCCAGTAATATTCGTATCATATGTAGAATTGCTGTATAGACTCGCAAGTGATTTGGCACTCAAAATGAAGTATTATTCAACTTTTTTTTCCATTAGAAACCTTTCAGAAATAGCTTTATTCTTA